TTATTCTTTTTAGGGATGTCTGCCCACTGAGAATAAAGGTGAGACCAAAAACTTAACGAGCCAAAGCGAGTGGACAGTGTTATTATTTATGATGTGAGAGTGAACTGTGTTCTACATGATGCACTGCCCGCTTCAGCTGTGTCCGTGTGTGTGTGTGTGTGTGTGTGAAAGGGAGACAGTGCAGTGGCTGAACTGGAGCTCAACTCGAAGCCATTAGTTGCAACATGAGATATGAGAGTTGGCCCACAGATTTGCTTTGGCTTTGGCTCTGGCTCTCCCCCAAAATCACAGAATGTCCTAGAACAAATTCCAGCAGCAAATGTTGAAACGGGCCAGAGTGGATTTGTGTATCTGTGTGTCAGATTGCATGTCTCTGAACAGGAACAAGGAATGTTCCCACTGCACTCCACCACATCTACACCCAAAGTTTCTGGACTCATTTTTCCCTCATGAGAATCTGATGCTGTGATAACGCATTTTTAAAAAGGGGGATCAGCTGTATCACACCAGTGATTCTCAAACTGTGGGTCGTCACCTGAACTTGTCCCAGGGTCATCATTTGGTTGGGGTCAGGGACTGGATCGTCCGTTACCTCTTTTTGTGTATTTTGGCAGTAGGTTGAATACTCTGCTCTCTTCATTTCTCAATCATACTGCAGTTTTTACTTCATCTTCTACTGCCTATTACCTTTATCACAGAGGGTTCTGTGAACAGTTCTCTGAACAGTTCACCAGTCCATCACAGGGCCACATATTGAAACAACCATTCACACTCACATTCACACCCAGGCTCAGTTTAGTGTGAATAATAATCCTAATCCTGCATGTTTTAGGACAGTGGAAACTAGAGGGACTGGTACTGGTACTGACGGTTCCTGTAGTGGTAGATACAATTAAACATGGAAACTAGAGGGACTGGTACTGACAGTTCCTGTAGTGGTAGATACAATTAAACTAAAATAGGGTACTCTAAATACTCAACACAGTAGCAGAGTAACAGGAAAATTAAAAAGTACCTGCAGTTCACTAAAATGAATTTCTGATATAATCCAATCTTAAAGAAATCCCTTTTTTTTTCCAAGTATTTGAGATAAATGTACAGAACCAGAAAGGCTGTAAAGACTCTAATCCGAATGATGGGTCTAATGATGGGACAGCAGAGAAGTACACACTGTTTACATCACAGCCATGAAGATGAAGTGCAGGCTCACAGCTTTAATGAGACATTAGACAGAAATACTCTGTGTGGGAGCAAAGTGTTCCCAGCAGAGAAACAGGTGAAGGAGGCAGCGTTTGGTCACTTAATGATAATAAATTAGTTACCGGGCAGATCCTCCTATTACTGTGTTTATCTACAGCAGCAGCAGCAGCAGCAGCAGCAGCAGCAGCAGCAGCAATGTTCTCTAACACATTTAGTAGAACTAGAACTGTTTTTGTTTTTTCTCCTCTATATTGACTTGGTTAATGTATTTGCTCAGTAATGATTCCGTGGATGCTGCTGCATTTGTATCACTGTTTAACATCAGCGACCAAGGAGGCACTGGGATTTAAAAAAAAAAAAAAAAAAAAAGATACAAAGGAAATCAGATTTTAGCAACAAGAGAAACTGTGATTCTTATTTACAAACGATTTTCTGTTTAACAAGCTCTGTCATAAATATTGTGTTTTAAAAGCAGAAAGGAAAAAAAACAGTTTTGGTTTTACTGCTGAGGCCTGGGAATTGTAATCTACATTAGAGAAGCAGTTTAAATATGCAGCTTTATCAGATTGAGTCTAATCTGGGGAGGATTTCCGTCCACACACCATGTTGCTCCACATTCGTCCTCTTTATCTGTTCTCAATATGTGTTGCATAACATGAGGCCTGTTCCAGCTGGACCCACCCAGGAGGCACATGGAAACACACTGCCCCCTGTTGGTAGCAATGCGTACAACAATTACTGAGTGGTTTTAATTTCTATGCAATTTTTTTTCTCTGCATTAAGATTTCCATATAAAGGTGAGCTGTTTTCCCCCTTAGTAAATCATATTTTTTCTATTGTTTTATGAAATCACCAGATGAGATGCTCTGAAAAATACCAATAATATTTATTACAAAAACTGCAGTAAAAGTTGAAGCTGCAGCACAACACAATAGCGGGTATATGCAAGGACTGTGATTGTGTCTGTGGATTAAAAAGCCTATTAATGTACAGACAACAGACAGATTACAAATGGGTAACACACTGGCTATATGTTCTATTGTAATGCCACAAGAGGGTGCTGTGCCTAAAGCCGAATAACCCCATTATAAATGATCAGAGATGAGCAAGAATAAATTAAAAAAAACTGCCTGAACAAGTCAAAACAGACGTCACTCAACAGACACACAGCAGATTATTGGCACGGCAATTAAAATATTTATTAATATTAAAATATACATTTTTTAAATTGTTTTTAAGAAAATCGTGCTGGTATAGAAAGTACATAGAAAGTAAAAAAAACTGAATTAAGAGAACTTAAAAATAGAAAACAAAATTTAAATAAAATATTTTTTGTAGTTTTTTACTGTGCCATGAATTATTGACTTATTGGATACTTTAGGATGTCCGAATAAAACAACAGATAAATCCGAGTGGTTTATAATTTTATTTCATTTTCAGTATTATGCAACATTATAAGTATAAATATCTGTTTTAATATACAACATCTATGACATCCATAGAGCTTTCCTTGAGCAAAATACAAAACTCAAAACACCTTTATTGCACATTTTCTAAAAGACAAACCAATGTAAGCAAGTTCATCTAACACTAGTTAAGGGACAGCGAAGACATCGATCACTGCAAAGACAAATGTTCTCATGTTGCCCCCTGGTGGCGACAGCGCGACGTCTCAGACGACTACAAACCACATCATCTGTGACACAGAACAGAGATTTGGCAAACACACAATATACAAAATATACATCCATCATACTTTGTAAACAAACATTGAGTGTGCTTTGAGGTTTATTTTCATCTCAGAAGAAAAAACCAACACCAACAACTGTGATTCCTAGTAATTTGCAGTCAGGACACACAAAGAATTACTAAACCATCTTAGCCAGAAAATCTAATTTTATACTCACCTTATCTGAAGTCACTGAAGCGAGCATTAAGGTGCATTTATTCTCTCACAATCAAATACACATCAGATTCTTTCAAATCTCTGCAAATTTAAACAACTCTTTTCAACGTCTGGTGTTTTGTTTAACTTCTACACATAGTAGACTATAGGAATATTGTCGTGGTATTTAACCAGCACACCAGCGCAAAATACTGCATTGTATACTTAGTGTCCTAGAATAGAGTCTTGTTTTGTCTACTTTACAGAAATGTGTCTACGTGAGTGGAAACTGCAGAAAGTGGACGCTGTTATACGAGAGCCTACATACCGAGTAGAAGTACCGAGTATTTGCACGTTAACACCATATGTATACTGTGGATGTGGTGGGAGTGATGCCCATTTATTTTTCTATATAAAATCTTCTACTGTGGCTCGTTATGAAGAGTCTGGATCACTAACACGTGACTTTAACAACACTGACTCAAGCCTGACACCTAGAGTTCTTTTGAAAACACAAACAGTGAAGCACTGAGGACTGGAACTCCCTCTCACTCCTGGCTGAGCTGCACACATGTTGATGCACACAGCCTTTAAAACAACTCAGATGCAGAAGCTGGTAGCAAACAAATACAGAGCTGCTGGTTCATTTCACCGTCCAGTATTTTACACCGTCCCTGCCTCTCACGCTGTCGACGGTCAGCGAACACATCTTTAGCCACCTGGACAACGTCACAGCTCTCACAGTTTTATCATTTAATGCTACATTTAATCGAAAATGTCAAAATTACTCTCTCTGACTTCTTGAATTCAGTTTAATTTGGACCATATGAAAATGTGTTAGAGAGAAGTCTGTAGTAACAGGTCAGTGAGCAGGTTAACCAATCAGACTTCTTCAATTCTTAGACTGTCTTTGTTCCTTGACGTGCTCAAAATATCATTACAAATGCTATGCAACACAATTTGGTACTGATAAGACACCACTGTGCGTGTTTTACTTGAATGACCAGCATAGTTTTCACCTGTTTGTGAATGAACCAATAAACCTCTGGTTCAATACTGTTTTCAATACTCTTTTTTACATAGTCACTGAGGAAGTACATCCAAAAATGTTCTTAGAAAAAGGATCAGACCAAGATTGCTGCCTGTAGATCTATTTTATAGGGATAAGGACACTTCTGGGTTGAAAATAGACCCTGTAGTGAGCAGTAACGCAATTCAAAATGATTTTAGCTGCCATTGAAAACAAAAATGTTCAAAATGAACAGGATAATTTAGTAAGAGGATCATCTGATAAATCTAGGTTTACTAATCTGGGTTAGAATTTTGAGTTTATGCTTTGTCCTCCTGAATACTAATTAGAGACTTGGAGAGAAATTAATTTAGATTATTTAGTTTAGGTGAAGTATGTAGGTAGTTAGCGGTACTGGCACACAGCTTTACCTCATCACAGATGTGTCTCAACGGAGGTGAGGTTTTATTTCTTGACGTTAATTTTCTATTATTGAAGTTAAAAAGTATTTATATTCTTGTGGATAAAACTTTTTTCTGAGTGGATAATAAACTTTTTTTTTTATTGCTGCTTCACTCCGTTTGTAGCGTCCCCTCCTCGACCTTTATGCTAGCACAGTGGTGTCTTTTCAGGAAGGTTTACGGCACTTGTGGAGATATTTTAAGTATGTAATAAAATGTAACACACCCTCTAAAAACCTTCCACTATAAGCAAGTACTGTAGAACTTAATTACTGGACCTAATTCTCCCACTGACAATAAGTGGTGATGGCTAACGACAGTGCTGTGTGGTTAAAAATTTAAAGGATTTCTCTGTTAACGCAGACAGAGATGCCTCCATGACAGCAGCTTAGTTTCTCACAGACACGATGCCTCCATGACAGCAGCTTAGTTTCGACCACGAGTGTTTTTTTTTCAACCAGAACGCGCTACGAACGTGACACTGAGAAAAATGTTTACATACAATAACAAACAACAATCATGTAAAGCCCATTACTCCCAGTTTTACAGTGCTTTCATATTTACACCATATATTGCATTTAAAAAAAATCAAAACTATATGTACACACGTCAGAGGAATGTGAATTTAACACCACAACCTTGCTCAAAACAGCAAGTTTGATTTCCCCACTTAACCTAAGCTGCCCCCCCCCACCCTCTAATTCAGGATTTCTACAGCTAGAAGATGAATCTGTGGTTTGATTTTTAGTTTCAGTTGAAAAGCAGAAAGGACGCAGTGCGTTTTCAACTGACAGTACCACTGCACAGAACCCCAACTTAAAAATGGTACGACCTAAACCTGTGGCATGTTTGCTTAATTTTAAAACCCCACCCCACACCCTCCTGAAAAATCGAAAAATCCAAGAAATCTACTGCATTAAAAGATTGAAACATCAGGCCCCTTCGAAGCTAGAAGTCAGAGTGCAATTCAAAAATCATTAATGGCACTGACTCGACAGTACGTCACAGCCTTTAGAAGGCTTCTCCTCGTCCACCTCATGATGCACACACACACACACAGATACACACACAAATCTGACATCAACAAAAGCCCACAAACAATCGCTTTAAAAGTCATCCTCCTTAACACCAAAAGTGATCAGTGATTGGCGTCCTACATTCAGATGTGGAAACACGCGCGCACACATAGAACAAACGCTTGCGAGCACATACACCCACCCACACACGCGCGTGCAGGCCTCCTGTTCTGTCAGCATGTAACAGCTTCCCGGTCCTTGAACAAAACACAAATGTTTGCACAAACCCTTTCTAAGTGTGACTAAGAGTCTCAGCTGCTCTCCTTCCTTCTGTGTCTCCTCTTCACTTTTTGATACTGGAGCTCCTGGACGACTCCTTCTGCTGCTTGTTCCTCGCACTGTCTTTGTCCAAAGTGTCTTTTAGTGCAGCAGCAGCAGCAGCAGCTTTGACCGAGAGACTCTTAGTGTTTTTCGTGTTGTCCTTCTTCCTCTCGGCTGTGCTCTGTTTCTCTGGAGTGCTGTTGGTTTTCTGACCCTCTGGTTTGAGGGTGTCAGGTCTGGGGTTTTCCTTGCAGGCCTTGGGTGCAGCCTCCTGTGGAGGAGCGCAGGTGCTGGCGACCCTTGACGCGGAGTGGTTGCCACTGCTGGGCGGAGTTTCTTTCTTCACCGCCGGCTTGGGCAGCACCGGTGGAGGATCAGACTGGTGTGAGGGCTGCGTCCTGAGCGGCTGCAGCTCGGGTGGAGGGAGAGCCAATGAATTTGTGTTCTTTGCGTTGGGGCCGTGATGAACTTTAATAACTGGGACTTGGTTGTGGGGCGGTTGGTCTGTGTGTTTAATAACTGGTGTTGGAGGTGAAGAACTCTTAGGAACTGGGGGAGGTGTAGAGACACTTTTTGGAGGGAAAGATTTCAGCGATTTGGAGTCTGTGTTTTCTTTCCCCGTATGACCTGTAGCTGCTGCATGGGTTTTTGGCTGCATTTCCTTCTGCTTTGCGTCAGTGACTGTTGAGGACGGCGTCAGCAGCAGAGCACATTCTCTCTGATTTACTTCAGCAGCAGATGTCAGCGGGCTTTCTTTCCGCTTAACGTCATGGCTGGCTGGACTGTTTGTATTTGAAAAGGAGAGCGTGGATTCCTTAGACATATTGTTCTGTTTTGAATTTGGACTTCCTTTTACTGCTGCACTGTGAGGCTTCACGTCCAGCGGCTTCGTTTCCATCTCTGACTTCAGAGCGCTCTGAGACACGACCTCCGGTTTCGAGTTAATATTTGCACTTAAGACATTTTCATTTGCAGTGAGTGAAGCAGAACCTTTGTGTTTGACTAAAAGCACCGCGCTGTTGTCTTTCGCATTGGCAGCACTTTCCTGTTTCCTGGAGGCGCTGTGTTCTGAGCCTGATGATTTGTGTGATGTTTTTTCAGCCTGGTAGGTTTTTGAGAAGTGCTCTGTGATTTTTACATTATTTTTTGTCTTGGGTGATGAGTCTGGACTTTTTGTTTGGCAGAGAGACACATCCTTTTCCTGTCTGATCAGTGAGACCGATGATGACGACGACGTGCTTGTACTGGTGGTGGAAATGCTTCTCTTCAGCTCCTCTTTGGAAGTTGCCTTCACTTTTCCATTTGTGCTGATATCTGAGGTTATTGCATCATCGACCTCTTTGGTAGCGGACTTGTTGTCCTTACTTGCAGTCGGTTCACTCTGGTCCTGCTGGACTCGTATTTCTGATCTGCAGGATTTATTATCACGCACAGTAGCAGATGGTGAGGCCATGACGGACGTGCATGGTTCTGTTTTTGAGGAGCAGGTGTTCAGCAGTTGCTGTTGTGAGAGCACATTCTCTGGAATGGCCACAGACGTGCATTTGTTCTGAACCCTGGCTGCTGTAGGAGAGGTCACAGGGGAGTTGGGTGGAGGTTTCACAGCGCTCCGACTCTGACCTGTATCCGAACTCTGCTTCAGCGATACAGGAAACACAGATGCAGGCGTCACTTGTGTAGGTGCTGAGGTTGTTTTGGCATCTGCTTCCATCTTTGGTGAAGAGTAAGAGACGACCGTGGAGCCGACGGTACCTTGTTGTCCTGTGTGAGGTGTTGCTTCCTGTTCCGCCTCGTCCTCCTGATCCTCGTTGCTGACCTCCCTTATGGAGGGAGTTTTTCCACAGGAAAAGTGGGACGTGTGCCGCTGGCTTCTGAGCTCATGAGCCAGTGATGAGGTGGTCTTCACAGCACTCCTGTTCTCTGGTTTACTCACAAAAGTTGAGGTCTCCACCTTGGTGGAAGAAGTTCTAAACGACTCACTTTGTTTGTCATTTGTTTTCTGGTCTTTTCTACAGTTTTTTACTTCCCTGGGAGTTATGTTTGTTTGTTCTTTGGAGACAGCCATGGTATTTGGAGAAGAGAACCCTTCAGGACTCGGGGAAGATGAGAGAGGGCTCCTGAGTTTGTCTGCCATTTTTGTCTGGGGGACATTAAACTGTCTTTCCACGGGACTCTGAAGCAGGATTGAAGGAGTCACAGGGACAGGGTCATTTAGGTTCTCAGTCATTTTGGATAAACAGGTTTCAGTCTTGGACACCCTGGGCCCTGAGAGCAGGCCGATGTCCAGAGTGCCCTCTAGAGGTTTGAGAGAGGAGACATGGCGTCCTTCCAGCTTGTATTCAGAGGAAGTCTTTCTGAGAGAAGAGTCTGCTGAAGAAATGAGCTGCAGTTTCTCTACAGCGCTCTCTCCCCTACCAGAGAAAAGTTTGGAGGTCAGACTGTCGGGGCTGGAGTGGACACTCCCCATTCCCGTTTTCATGTGCTCGTAGGACATGGCTGTGTCCAGCTGCAGACTCTTAGACCTGGTGGAGGAAAAATGGAGGTTCTCGTGGATGCCAGAAGACAGACGACAGATGCAGTCTTCCCGATCTTCAAACGACAACCTCTTCCTGGTGAACTCGATGTTGGGAGCTTTGAAGTCCAGTCGGTCAGGCTTCATGCTGTCTTTACTTTGCCTGCAGAACTGCCTCTCTGTGTGTATGGAGCAGTGAGATGTTCGATGTCCTTCACTGTCGCCGCTGCCACCAGCTGAGTCCATGATGCTCTCTGAAGCTCTTGTGTTAAGTTTCTTGTACAGAACATCTTTCAGGGTGCTGCCAGCAGCCTTGGCCTCCACCGGCCCATACTCTGGGCTGCTCTGGGATTTGTTTTCATCAACGCACAGGGTGAAGGACTCTGATTCTCTGAGGGCATCTTGTTTCTGTAGAGACTCCCTCCTTTCAGACCAGTCCTGTCTCTTCACAGCTATCTTGGACTTGAGTTTCTCCTTGTCCAGCTCCTCGGTGGAATCCTGCCAACCCGTTTTGCGACCAGCGGGCCTCTTTAAACAGCCCTGCTCAACGGGGCGTACGCGGTTAATGGCCGGGGTCTCACTGGCTGTTTCTTCCACACTGTGCAGGATGTTGTGATCCCGCTCTCCGGGCCCTACATCCTCATCCTGGACTTCTTCTTGGGTAACTTCCAAACTGTGTTTTCTGGGACACAGGTGCTTCTTGTCCCCTGTGTAGGAGGGAGACAGCTTTTCCTCCGACTGGACTCGTTTCAGCAGAGGAGAACGAGGAGGCTCAGCACTTTTGGGCCGGACGATGTGTCGGACAATTGTGGGTGGTGAGTGCATCTTTGCTGGGAAAGCTTGGGTTGTTTTGGAAATAGTAACAGAATGTCCGCCGAGAAGGGGAGAGGGTGAGCGCTGTGGAGACGTTGGCTGAGGTGTAGGTGAAGGTGTGCGAGCGAGAGGAGACAGAGGGATGCTCCCAACAGACTTGCGTCGCCCCTGACGGAGCCTTTGACCGGGAAGTTTTGGGCCAAGACCGTGAAGTGTGCTGGGGCGGATGTGACCAGAGCCCGCAGGGGAGTTTGGAGCACTGGAGCTGGGAGAACTGCTCTGTGAGGAGTTCCCACCTGGAGGTTAATAAGAAAAAAAGCAAAAATAACAATAGTTATAGTATTTAACAAAGTTGAGAAATTAGCATTCAGTCTTAAATAAAAATACTTCTGATCATCACCTGATTGAATAAAATCAGGTGCATGGCGCAGGGCAGCAGTTGGAGAACGGGGTGAGAGACTGTGAGTGGGGGAGCCAGGGAGACTCTCACCAGATGACAGAGAGTGATTGAGAGAGGAGAAACTGCGACTTGTGTGCAGGAGCGGAGAAGGCTGCATGGCAAAACGTCTGAAAAGGGAGCGACGCCTGGAAAGAAAAAGATGAAAATATGAAGAGAAACCTACTTCATTTCCTCATCACAATAATGCAATGATGAGAGAGAAACTGAGGACTGTGGTGCAAAACATAATATATAGGTAACATCCAGTCGGTGTCTGCAGCCACAGGAGAGCAGACTTATTTTACTTACATTTAAAAAACATAATATCACTGTGTAGAGTAAAATACATGTTCCTTCTTAGTGAAATATTATTGCAAATATAACCCATTTCCCCAGCACTGATTATATTTCTCAGTCTTTCTGTTCAATGGATTATCTTTTTCAACCATTTCTGGGTTAAATATTTTATTTTCCACAAATTCACTCTATATGTTGATTTATTGAATTTCTCTTATTGGTAAATTAAGTGTTAATAGGTTAAATAACCCTAAATGCCCTGTAACATGTAGTTCATGAGGGTTTGTGCATGTGAAGGTTTTTTTTATTATCTCTGGTGCTCACATGTCATGTCTTGTGCAGTTTCTTCCATCTGGCTCCAGGGGCCAACAGGAAACAGACACACCTTTTAAGGCTGGTGTCATTGATTCCACTTTTACAAACAGTGATTCTTCTGTGTTTTCAGCAGTGGCTCAGAGCGTACTGCAGTTAAATTGAGCTCAGTGATTGTTATCTGCTGTCCTGGTTGACCTTCACGTAAATAAATTATACTATGGAAGATCAAAGTGTTCGCACTTTTTACAGTTTAACAGAAAAACGTTGAAAAGCAAAGTATGAAGACATTAAAACAATGAAGAAAATATACAGCTACTGAAAACAGTTCATTTAAAATCAAACCTTTCTGGTGTCTTCTCCTTCTTGGTTTTTTTTGCACATCTGACCATCTTACTCCTGTAGCTGTTCCTCCGAGCTGGACCTGTTTTTATTGACGTGTTCTCAAAGGGAGTCGTGGAGATCGCAACTTTACTACCACTCTAAAAAGACAAGATGAAGTTTTTAAAAATGTTTAAAAACATCTTATAATAAATGTTATGTTGGTCAGATATATATACGTATATACACACACACACACACACACACACAGACACACACATTAGATGTACATTAGGATTGCACCTATATGTAGCGCACACTCATTTACCTTGAGCAGTAGTTCCACCACCTCAGTGTGGACCAGACCATGGACCGGTTCTCCATTGACATGAGTAATAAGGTCTCCAGCCTTGAGTCCTGCTTTATGTGCAGGTCCACCATCTTCCACATTCTGTTTATCAAAAGCATATCACTTATTATGATATAACTGTTTTCACTGTGATTTTTTTTTAATGATCTCAACAGAACTTTATAAAAAAGATAATAAACATATTTATAAAAAAAGATTTTATAAAAGATCAATATTGAGACTGATTCAAAGTCTTAAAAATGGTAATATTTTGAAAAACATTTTTGCTCTTAAAACTTCTGCTCGCTTTCATATGGTGGTAAATTTTATTCAATTTATTGCCCTCAAAAACAGTGTTTATTTGCACTGAAAAAACCAAAATTTAAACAAATGTATGTATGAGGGACACAAGAGTGCTGTCTTACCCAGACCATATGATAGACAGTGTAAATGTCACTGTCACAGGCATACACCCGGATCGCCCTCAGCGTGAAGCCAAACTTCTTTCCGGAGCTGTGGATGACGACAGGCTGCCGTGGGTTGGTGGCACAGAGGGAGGAGTCTCGGCTCGGAGAGGAATCCCGCGAGGAGGGGTCTGAGGACATCGAGTAAGGGGACAGTGGGCTGGCCAGTGGAGACACTCCAAACATATCTGGAGTGAGAGGAGAACAATAGGATTCTTTAACCCTGCTTCATTCTCGTCAGTTTGTCATCTTGATTTTCCACGCAGGTACGGTGGTGGACTATGGGATTTCACAGGTATGAAACCACACTTCATTTGTTATTCACTTGATTTACTGTATATTTGACAATTTGTATCATGACCATTTTTGTTAATTTACTAATAGATACTAAATAAGTGTATCTTTGTGTTTTGTTTAATGTAATTCTATGACTCACCAGCAGGGATCATGAGTGAAAGAGCACCAGCTGACACAGACTTTGGGACCTTGACAACAGCGCCAGTCTTCTCTGAAGCACTGTCAGGATGGAGGGAGTTGGACTGAGGCGCCTGCTCTGCGGAGGTGAAGTTGGAGCCGTCAGGACTCTCTGGACCTTCACCTCTGGGTGTGAGTTGGTCCAGATGGTCTGAGAAACTTCCTAAAGGGAAAAAAAAAAAAAAAATATATATATATATATCAATAACACATTATATGGTTCATACACTCGTCAAATTCAAGCACTTTAAGGTCTTTCAAGGTCAATTTCCAGGTCACTGGGAACTGAGATCATACATTTTTAACTACATAGGAGTATTAAGTATTTTTGTGTACATAGAAAAGTAATCATCTTCACCAAAGGTCTGCATAATAAAGAATCCCATCATCGCCAACATTTAATTACTGCTGTATTTATTGTTTAGTCTGTGAATGGGCCTCAAAGAGGAAGAAATAAAAAAAATCTGTAGGCTGTTGTGTGGCTTTAAAAAAATTATATATTTATTTATATGAAACCATGTTTCTTTTTCTTTAAAATGCACCAGTATCTCTCATCTCATCTCATCTTGTACCAGAGAGTGTGGCTCCACTGTGAGTGCTGCCTGGTGTCTCAGCTTCAGGCTCATCTTGTGGGAGGTCTGTGATAGAGAAGGAGGCTTTGCTGGGTTCACCGAGGCCTGAGGACTCGTCGCCTTCGCTCTCAGCAGAGATGGCAAACTTTGGTAGCAAAGTGGGCCTGGGGCCCTGACTCACACTGTCTGTGTCAGTGGAGTGGGACAATGAAGGCCTGAATGAAAATGGTGAAAAGAAAGATCTTCATGAACTTGTTATCACATTTCAAATCTATCTATCCTATTAAAATCAGAGACCTTAAACCTGTAAATTAATCTGGGGCACATGTCAAACACAGGGCTCACAGGTCGAATGTGGTCATTCTGTGTGGCCGGCCAGACCTCAAAATGTAATTAATTTGCTTGTAATTAACAATCTTAAGTTTGTCTCTATACAATTCACATCATCATTGGCTGATGAAGATACATCATTTACAAGTTATATCACACCGTATTTGTATTAGTTAATCAAACGTCCCTGGACTCATTAACTGTCAATGAACTCTAAGAAATAATTTTAAAAAGACAAATGCTAAAGTATAAAGGGTTTTTTCTCTGTCCTCTGTAAACACAATTAAAACATCTATGTATGAAGGTAAAAATGAAACCTTACTTTTCCTACTGACAACAGTAAATTATACACAGCGTCACTTTAAACAAAGCAACATAAATCATGGTGTGTTGAAGACATAAAGTCCTTGACTGGGTGTGAGATGTAAACCTACATTTCATTAAAGTCTGGAGTCCAGCTGAGAGTGTCCACAGTCAAAGGACTCTCACTCTTCTTCTCCTCCGTCTCTCCTTTCTCCTCCAGGTGGCCACGTGACAAATCGATGCTGCTGTAAACCTGACAGCCACATAAAAAAAAAAAAAGTTTTACTGGTCGACCAGTGCAATATCATGTTATATTACACACTGATTTTTAAAACAGGAAAATACATTTGGTGCTCAAGTCGTAACTGGGACATTTTATCTACTGAACTTAAGTACATAGTGGTGATGTCCAGGCTCAAATGATCGACACTGATAATAGCAAATATATATTTACATATAAACTGAATATACTTTATATATACATGACATGTTGCTGTATTGCACAGTATGATTTAATACTTTAATGGTTATGAATTTAGTCCTAGTGACTTAATTCATGGTTCTGTTTTTATTTTATTTGCTGATTCACTAACTCTATGATCTACTGGTAGATTGCGTTCTACTTGTTGAGCACCCCTCTACTGAAGTATTTGAGTGTTGACAGGAAACCTGGTAATGCTTCTTCTACAAAGCCCGACTCTTCCTGTGAGAACGCCTTGCCACGTCTGAGAACGCTCTTTGTATTTAAACTACAGCGAAGCCAAACTACTCCCACCGTGTAGGACTCTATTGTGTATTGTGTTCAGCATAAATAAACATCATATTTGCAAAAGTAAAATATATGCAAAGCTGGAAATTACATTCATTACTGTGGTGGTGAAGTGGGATCTAGAAAAAAAAAACAAATTTCCATATGGAAAACTGATTTTTCTGTTTTCTCTCCCACGAGACGGGCATCACAATGAATGAAGGCATCAGTTTATTTACATAATGTGGCTGCTAGTATATATCATGAATTAAAGATGATGGTTTTAGACTGAAAAAAAAAAAAAAAAAAAGAAAGTAGTGTCATGTGGCACCTTGGAGATTCTGTGTGAACAAGAGGAGAACTGCCGCAGCTCCACATTAAAGTCTTCATCATTTGTGTCCTCTTCCTCTGTCTCCAGGTGATGATATCTCTCAGAGCGAGCTGGGAATAAAGGAAAGAGTTTATGTCAAATCTTATATATATATATATATATATATAAAATATATCGTATTCAGTTAATGGGAGTTTTTGTGTCGGAGTGTGATTTAAGCTTAGGGAAATTGAATATTATCCAGTGAGTAGCTCATAGTTGCTGCCTGTCGGAGCCAGACCTGATATAAGGAGTATTTATGACAGAGTGTGCAGGGCACGGAAGGAGGTCTGTGTAAATCTGTCACCTTTTTTTCTCCTTTTCGTTTATAAGGTGTGAGACAACTCACTATCAAAATAGCTGGTGTCATCTTCAGACTCGAGTTGAGGAATGAACTCCGCCTTCTGCCTCAGGAGACCATTCCAGTCCAGATTGTGGAAAAACTGATGCTCCTTCACTTCAGCGGCTCCACCTACAGGCGTGAAAAGACACAAATAAATGTTTATGTAGAATTTAGGGGCAAAGCGTTGAGATGACATTGAACTTTGTGTCAGTCACAGGAGCTGTAGGAGTGCTTATGCTGTGTCTTTCTCCCCACATAGGCTGTGGGCCAAAACTGATGTCATGAGGCATAAATTATGTGGTCCAATTTCCTGCCTGTGACCTTTTGTAAAAGAGCAGAGGTCTCGATGAATGGCAACCAAGCGGGGCCACAGTTGGACGAACAAGAAGGCCTAACTGTCACCATGGAAAACTGGCTTTATGCAATCCTCCTATTAAAAGATTTGTACGAGGTCACGGCCACATTTGCAGTCTGCACAACCACACGTTTGTACTGGCTGATCGAGCATGGAACAAGATTCACGGACTGGCAATGTTATAATTGCAATTGATCAAAGTGAAGAGGTGAATAGACCACGGGATGAAGCGCTCTGCCGTTGGATGACCTCAATTTCTTCCCCCGGTGACTTAGAATAATGAGCAGGGCTGAGGTGGCACTAACGGTCACAGGAGAATTTATGGCAGCCTGTGGAGTCCTGGCCAAGTTAAAGGCTGTGTCACGTGTCCTGAGCTCTCTCTCTGTGTGTGTGTGTGTGTGTGTGTGTGTGTGTGCGTGCATACCTGCACCCATCCTTTCCAGAGGATTCTGTCTGAGCAACAAAGTGATGAGCTCCTGAGCATCCAGAGGTGGAGCATCTTCACCTTCAGGCCAGTTGATCTCATCTACAAACACACAGGGGGAAACACAGAGAAAGAATGATCAAGAAGCAGTTGGTTTCTTGAAATTTTAATTCAACCATTCAATATGTGTGTGAGTAAAAATATTATGGGGAAACAAGTTCTTTCAAGCTTAGCTTCTTTCCAAAGCAATTAAGGAAAAGAAAAAGATTTTTTCAAATAAAACAAAAATAAAAAAATCCATGCCCTTCAGCTCACAGTTTTAGAAATGTGTTTAAACTGTGAAGCCCATTCCTCTGTTATTGGCAAACGGCAGTTGCCAATAATCTATTATGTTTGTAATACAACACGAGAACAATGAGAACATCATTGAGACAATTAGAAAAATTATACAATTTCACTGTTAAGTCACATAATATGTTGGTTATATATTAAACCTAACAGCATGAATCATTTTTTAAAAGTAAAAAATACCAAACCTGCATGAGTTTCATTTGAGTTTTCCGTAAATCAGACCAAATTGATGTTAACATTTGACAAAATGAAATAATGTATAACACCTGAGGAACATGCAATTAAAAAATAAAGCTATGCCTTTACTATACCCCTGTGCCAATGCTGACAGTTGCCACGTTGCACAATTTGTCCTCCATTTTAATCAAATTTAGTAGGTGGGCTATGAATATGTATGTGCAGCCTGGGGCCACAATGGCATGTATTCAGTGTGCACAGGCCCTTCTAATTAACAGTCACTCTCAGAGGCTTGGCACAGTTTGATCGAGGGAATACCAAATCACTTATGGCCTGCCATTCATTTCTTTGGCACAGGCAGAGGCTGTCCTTATTTTGCTACTGCTGAGCCACACTGGAAGATTGGTTCTGCACAGCTTTTACAACGAGAGCACAAGAGAAAGTAACATTATTAAAATGTTAAAACTTCCCTCCTGGTCTGAAATCAAACTACACCATTCAACACCACGTTTCGTTTCAGGCCCAGAGGGACTCCTTTAAAAATTAGATAAAAACTCACATCAGCTAATTTCTCAGGGTCAGTGCTAATGTTTAATTCATATCTGAGTGAGGTTTGGGAATTTCTCTGAGGTTCACAGCCGAATATAAATGCCAGACGCTGTAGCACTTCATTTAAATCACCTCTAACAGTCACGGAGAGAGTCTGAAAAATAAACAGTTAACCAATGAAGTGTACAAGTGTTTTTTTCCATCTTAAAATCCAAGATGGCAAGAGTACGATCAGAAAGTCAATTGATAAAAATTTAGGTTTTTCTGCTAAATTTTGACATAAAATATAAACCTTGACATTGGGAGTTTAAAGAAATTAAGATGTTAATGAAAAACAAACTAAAGAAATTCATGAGAGATGAGGTCATACTGACCGCTGATGACTTGGCCAAACAGCTCCTCCGGTGTGTCCCCAAAGAATGGCACACACCCCACAAGAAACTCGTAGAGGATGATTCCCATGGCCCACCAGTCTACTGGTTTCCCATAGCCCTGTCTCAGGATCACTTCTGGAGCTATATACTCAGGTGTGCCACATACCTATGAAAAAAAAAGATAAAGGTAAAGACACATAAATGTAGGGAGATAAAATGGCCGACTGGGCTTCACTGATGTTTTTACCTGTTTGTCAGAGAACTCTCTGGCATCTTTTTCAATATGTCCTTCGTACAGATTAGTGGTCATGTTCATCAGGCCAACTTTGGACAAACCAAAGTCTGTGAGCTTAATGTGACCCATCGAAGTAACCAGTAAACTGTGGAGAAGGAGACGAGGACAAAAAGAAGATGCGAAAGGACAAATGTTGACGTAAAGATTTCTGTGATATTTGCACAATTATGCCACATATTTCTACTGTCCATGGGATCATGAAATGTCATAAGAACACAAGGCAGAACAAAGGACCTTACATCTGACGATTATTCAGTCTTACTTGTCTGGTTTGAGGTCCCTGTGAACAATGCCATAGTTGTGAAGATACTCCAGAGCTAGCACTGTCTCTGCAAAGTACATCCTGGCCATATCCACAGGCAGTGGACCCATGTTCTTCAAAAGGGTGGCACAGTCGCCACCTGTGGAGATCAATGGTTTGAAGTTACAAATGAGTTTGACACGAAGTGTTACTGCTTTCAGCAGACCTTTTTTTTTTTTTTAAACCAACACCCACACACTGACCTTCAACATATTCCATAACCATACACAGGTGGCGGCGAGTCTCAAAGGAGCAGTACATGGAAACCACAAAAGGGTTCTCAGCAAAGGTGAGGATGTCTCTCTCCACAAAGGCCTGTTGTATCTGGTTTCTCAACATCAGGTTCTGCTTATTGATCTTTTTCATGGCAAACCTCTGCTTAGTTTCCTTGTGTCGAACCAGATAAACAGCCCTACAGAAGAAATGTCGGGTAGGAAAGAGGACATCAAACACTTTACACGTGGTAAGGGATTCACCGGTGATGATACTAGGATAAAATGAATGGATAAAAAACATGCGCCCATCTAATGAACTAGAACCAGAATCTTAAGTGCTCACTTTCTGTTCAGCTGGCTGCTTTACTATACAGAAAGCTTCTTTGTTAGCACAACATGAACTCTACCGTTACAAAAGTTCTCACCCGTAGGCACCATTGCTGATGAGTTTTATCATTTCAAAGTCCAATTCACAGGGTTTTCTGCGGGACCTCAAGGCTGCACTTAGGCTCTGAGACTGGGAGAGAGACAGAGAGAGAGACATAATGAAACAAATCAAAAAGATATAATCTTTATTTCACGGGTACACATGCAACAAAGACTGAGGAGATCAATACTCTAATCGATTGCCCACTGCTCACCGAGTCATCCGTGTCTGGGGTTTCTGCTATCCCACTGTCACAGCTGGTCAGCTGAGCAATTTCTGTGGAGAACACATTAAAAATAAATGAAAGAATGTAATTTATCAATCAATTATACTCTATTTGTTTAGCTCACTTTTGTACCAGTTAATGGAATGTATAATATTCCACAGACCAGTGGAAAGATAATCCAAATACAACACACACAAGATTAACAATTATGAAAATATAACAACATGACAAATTAAAATCGCAGGCAGAAAGATAATTACATGTGGTAAAGGCTGCCTTTTTTTTATTAGAACCATATAACCTTCTCAAGCGTAACCTTTTTTTAAGACAAGGAAACCAAACAGCTGAGGAACATCAGCCTCTAGCTTTTATTCACCCATTAAGCTGACAGTGCTGACTCCCATGTATTTTGAATTGAGAATAAATGAGGTGAAAATCACATGTGGCAACACAAACACATGTCCAACACTCATTTTGAAAATCACTACTCCAGAACAAGTGCTCATTATAAGCCACCTTGCATCTCTTCTCCCCCTCTCTCTGTGTGTGCATTTTTGTGCGACCACGCCAAGTCCATGTGTGTGTGAATTCACAGAGGGGGTTTTTGTCTGGTCCCTGGAGGGTCCCCAAACACACTTCATCTGATTTTTAACATCTGTCCCTTCTTGGAGGTTTGCTTCAGGCACACAAAGCATCGGGCAATGGAGAGACAGGAAGGACTCATGGGAAATGAACGGAGACACTGGCTGATGATCCAGTCTGTGTGGATATGTGTAAATTCAGCAGGGAGGCCATTCCTTTCTAATTAGTTGTAATGAATGTTGTTGGTTGCTGAATGTGGTGATACACAGGGCCATTAAGACAGTCTGTTCATGCCAGGACATTAGTCTGTTGTCTGTTGGTTCCCTTCACAGTTCAATTCTTTCATTCCAGTACATCTCCACAACAGTTGCACTGCATTCAGAACTGCTACCTGTTGTTTTTATATTTGTCATAATCACAGACTGAACACTTGTTGTACCTTCCAGTGGATCTCGTGTCAGTCCCAGTTGACTGATGATGTAACGAGGAATGTCCGTCTTGATGCCCTGGCCTTCCTTAGCATGACCTTCGGCTGCTTCTAAAAGGTGGTAAAATTCCTCTGGGTCGAATTCCTGTAAACAACATAGAATAATTAAAAGAATCCCGGAATAAACGTTTAAAAAGATAGTAAAGTTTAAATGGTGGTTAACAACAAATCTAAAACACAGGCTTAGATCGTGTGTGTTTGTGAGACACACATGAATTCCAGTGTGTGCCAGTGGAATTTTTGAGTGCCATTGTAGTGGTTATCTCCACTATCATGGCATAATTGTTTAAACTTTTTAGCTGAATCTCTGGAACAGTTTATCTCATCTTACAGACAAGAAAACAATGTCATTGGTTTAATTTCTTTTCGTCCAGGGCTGTCTGCAGTCCGTAATCCCTGGAGAAAAGTATCTACAGCTGCTAAATGCTTCTCTTTTTCATTGCCATTTAGTGCTGAGGCAGGTCGTGTCTTTAAAGTCTGCCTGCTGCAAACCCCAAAAAACTGCTCTTTACAAGCACTACGTGTGTATGAAGCTACTTCTTGCTAAACTCTTCGGAGCAGAAGACTGGATCATGTTTGGTATTTTGGTATTTGAAAAGTTAAAACATCTTAGAATTTGCCAATCTTGTGGTACCAGTGGCGTCTGACTCGAAAACCTGAGAAACCAATCAGTAGCAAACATTTTACAGCATCTGCACAACAGCCTTTAAGACCAAACTCAGGTTCAATGTGCACCAGGGACAATTCTATTTTCTCCCAAAGAAACCCAATTGATAATCCACGGGGAGCTGCCAGGCTGTGTTTTGTTCCTATTGCAATCACATTTATACATTTAGGTCAACGTCTAAACTGAGTGCTTCGACAAGGAAACAACAAGAAACTACAGACGTCCTATTATTGTAGCTTTGGCAAATTCTGATACAATTATTTATTTAATTATTGTCAAAGACTGAGGCATCCACCTTCTTCACCCTCCAAACAGGATATGTGGGACTTGATGATGACAAAATATATTAATGCATTACTCAACTAATAAAAACAGGACAAAAAAATAGTAAAGTTCAATCAGTGCTGATTTCTTTATGCACAAACAAATGAAGACAAGAGCCAATCAGAGCTGTTTGTTGACTAGACAGCAGGGCACCTAAAGCAGGGATTTAATCAGAGCCATACCACATGTTGTGCATTATTTAAAAGAGATGCAAAGAATTGCCAGCCGGATTGAACAAATGACACAATCCTAACAAACAAATTGAAATAATTTCTCAAAGTCACTGACAGATGATTTAGGCGGGGGTTCGTGATATAAAACTTACCAGGCACTCCAGAAGTCGAGCAGGTCTAGCTATAATGATGAGGATCTTCTTGGCCAGCTCTCTAATGAAGTTCACCTCCTCACTTTCTGACCTCTCTGTGGACTATGAAGAAACAACAAAGAAGGAAACAAGTCAGAATTTCACAGATTTGTAAAGTTTTAATTGACGTTATGAACAGTTTTTCAACAGCATGGATCTCCTTGATCACAACTTTTTCTCATTAAATTTTATGGTTGAACAAAAATGAACAGTTTGGCTCATTTACATCACTTGCAGCTAAAATGATTTTTCTTTCACCACATTAACACATTTCTAAATTATTTCATGCCATTTGTTGTTGGGGCATTTGTGGCCCATTTGTGTTTTTATGAACCTCCTTCCAAAACCTTCCCTGTAGATCCGCTCACCTCCAGAACAAGCCTTTCTAGCTTGTCAGTGAGTTCGCAGAAGTAGCTGGAGGTAATGAGTCCTAACCGGCTCTTCTCCAAACAATCACGGGCAAGTTCAATTATCTGGTGGTGGGCAAAGCCAAGCACGCCATCTGCTAAAGGGAGGACGTTCTCTGGAGAGTTACTGCGAATGATCTCCTGAATTCTCTCTTCCATCTGAGCTGTGGCCTGCAGTGAAGATGGAGATGCAAGGTTAGCAGAAAGCCAAATGATAAATGGAAAATAATGTTGGCAGGGAAGTCAGTGTGAAACCTTAGGAAACCGCTCCTTGTAGACGTGATTCATCATAATAATCTCGTGGTCGAAACAGGATGGAGATCGTCCAGGGCTGAAAAATAAAATGTGATGCTGTCAGTGTAATGTGCCATTGGTGACACATATAAGCCGATGCTGGATTTGTACGAGTGCGTTGAAACCTGAGACTGCGTGAGCGAGGTCGCATGGCCGTCGCTCTGCGGCATTCATCCCCAGAGATGCTCTCGGTGCAGAAGTGCTTGGAGAGGAAGTGCAGCTCGTCAGGCGTGGGCTGGAAGGGCAGCTGGTGCAGCTTCTCCTGTGATGAACAGGATGACTGTAAATGAAACAAATATATATATTCAACATGAAAAAAAAGATGACAAGTGTGTGTGTGTTAAAAAAAAAACAAAAAACTTGATACTGACAGAGACTGTGGAACTGGGTGTGTTGGTTCCATATCCAGAGGAGGGAAGGGAGGCCAAAGACCAGCGGCGACCATCAGTCCTGTCACAAAATAACACACATACTCAAAATACAACAATCACTACTCAAAGTCCAACATTCAACAGCTGAAGAACATCTCTATTGGTAAACATGTTGGTCAGTGACGTGTATTTGCTTTTGATCAAATGACATGGTTAGTGATGAACCTGATGCAATTTGTTTACTACAGAAAGTAAAACTGGATCTAAATACAAAACCAAAGTGTGAAATAAAAAAATATAAAAATCAGTATCAGACAGATACAAAAAAAATGTGAAGAAATGGTTAAAAAAGCTTATGCATACAATAAAACTACATCTGCTCTAAATCTGAAATATAACTTAACATGATGTTATGACAGGGCATTAATACAAAATAAACATTCCTGACAGTCATTTTTTTTATGCTGACTTGTTAGCTACATTGTTGTCCAGTGTGTGCAGCTGAATCCTTATGATGTTTTGTGTTACCTTCGGGCAAAAGAAAAATGAGCAGAGGCGCTAGGAGAGAAGTTTCTGGGACTGTCCTGTGGGCTTGTTCCTGCAACAAAATACACAGACAAATTAAATATTGAGAGAAAAACAACTAATAATTGGGCCAACAGGGGATTAAGTTACATAGTATTGCATTTTTCTTTGTAACTGCCACAAATATCAGTAGAAAATTTCTCACATTCTGTGAAACTTCTGTGTGGCAAAAATAAAACACTAGAATTTCAATACTGCCATGCCAAGTCAATTAAGGCATAAATGTCCTTATTTGTACTGGTAATGTTGTATAAACCAGACGGGTTTACATGCAACCAAATGTTCTTAAAACATTTGACCAGATATGTTATCCTTTGTAGAGAACAAATTTAGGATTAACCTAAAAAACCCTTCAGTTTTCACCTCAGTATGAGAAAACAAGAGATCTGTGAGTGGTATAAAGCAAGAGTAAACTGGTTAAAAAGACGGTCAGCAACCAGAGAAACTATCAACACCCACAGCTCATTCCAGAGTATCACTCTCTGAAACACCCACAGCTCATTCCAGAGTATCACTTCCATCAACAGCACACTCAGACATAACATGGGTTTTTGGACATTTTCCAGCTATGCATGGTCATGCCAAGCCTTTCCTCCAATTTCTTGACTTATGTTACACCGGACCCTCATTACACAACAGCAGTTTGTTTTCAAGGACCAGCTGGGCTCTACATGACATGAATCAACGTGTGGGAAACTGTATCAACACAGGAGGTAAAGGTCAAGACTGGCTTCTTATGCATCTTAAAAAGGAAACCGCTGTGGTGACATACTAACACGAAGTCAGTGCTGAGGCTGAGGAACCAGACATGGACAAAGATGGAAATGGACAAGACATGAAGTCATAAAACAAAACAAGCTTAAAAGGACCTTGGTTTATTTCTGTGCGCATTTAATTAAGAGGCTAAAATCCGTTTCCCCTGTAGCAGCTAGCTTCTCTGTGTTTACAGTCTGCATCATTAGACATGGAGCTCTTGCTTCAAACAGGGAATACAATGTTCACATCAGTTTCTTCCTCTACTTTACCTTCAATGTGTATTAGCATTGAATGACAGGATGCTACGACACAATGCAGTGCATGGTTGACACAATGCTGATCAAATCAACTGCAACTCCCTGTGAACCTTAATAAAGCAGTGGTTTCCATCACAATTTTCTCAGTACAACGTTTTAGCCAGCCCAGAGGAAATGACCTCATTAAAACTGAAAAGAGGAAGGAAGGAAGAACAACAGCAACATTCACTTGGAGAATGGGACGCCTGTCCCAGGTTGGAGCTTAGTCATCAGTCAATTCTAATGAAATTCTAAAGTCAGTCAATTCTAACAAAAACATAAGGAAGTTGATCCTGAAAGCCGAGACAATTGTGCTAAACTTCAACCCCAACTGTAGGAATTTCAACACTTTCTCCAAGTGGGGCTTAATTTATTACCTGGAATCTAAACATCCCCATCACTATCTGGAACTGAATATGAGAGGAAGGAGAGCAAGTCTTGGCTAACAATCATTCACACTCACATTCACACCTATGGTCAGTTTAGAGTGCACCACTTATGTAACTCTGCACGAGGGGAACACACAAACTCCATACAGCAACACCATCAGTTAGCACCTAGGACCAAACAGCATATCCTTTGCTATAAGGCAAGAGCACAAGCCGCTGTAACACAACATTGTTGAGGTAAAGAATAGTAAACATCTCCACCTGATGTTGTTAATCCCACTTAAGTAATCTCAAGATAACTGTAATCAACTGAAGCAGATTCCTTTCAGCTACAGCTGCACTCTATCATCATGCAGTGCTCCTCGTCCTCTTTACCTACTTTACCATTGCCTGCACGTTCTATTACACCTTGCTGAAAATAGAGTCACGGACCACTGAATATTCTTCCTATAGGGACCCTCGGAAAGCCACTGTTAGTCTTTGTGTCCACACTGACAGTTGTAAAAACAAACCTGCGGTCCAATATTAATTAGGTTTAATTAGTTTAATGTTCCACTGAGGAACATTAAATCAGACACTGTATCTTGTTAGAGATGAATGTCTGCCATTAAATTGAACTGTCATCTTGACGACAGTCTATTGCTCATGATAACCTTCGTCAATGGGCGTTACACAGCATTTGAGCAGAGAGCATCTCTTCTGTTCTGACTCATATAAACAATCATCATAACAGCAAGGAGAAGCAGTTATGTATGAAATATGATTGAGATATACAGTATATAAATATACACATACATATATATAACTCCACTTAAAGTATATGAAACTCAGAAGTAGCCAGTAGGAAAAAAAACGACAAAAGCTCAAAGGTGTTTTTTCTTACCTTTTGAACCAATGTTACGTTTGAGCCACAAAGTCAAGTAGTCCCAGAGTGGAACACATTCATTGGAAATGGATCTGAGCCGTTCTGGCTCTAAGTCCATCTTTAAGTTGTAGTGGAGTCCAGACCATAACCTTTAATCTGCAGCTCTGTTTTAGCTGACCACAGCCAGGAAATAAAACGCCCTGTGGCAAATAAGGACCCCCCCCCCGCTCCCCAGACCCTCACCCACCCACTCTCCCTCTGCCCTGGTGCATTTCCTCCCTGCAGGCCAGCACTTCCTCCCCAAACACAATCACTGCCTTCTGGCTCACGTGTACAGTTCAAGTGTAAAGGAACGACCCCACAACTAAAGGACAATAAAAACAAGATCAAATTTTACTTATTTTTTTCATTTGACTTATTCTTCTGTCCAATTAATTGTATATTATGCTAATTGGTTATGTACAAGTACAAGGGAAAGCATCATTTACCATTAGGCATTTATAATTACCATCATTATTTTTTATTATATTGTCACTTTTTTTGGACTGCTAACTTTTTAGTATATTAAAGTAACAGTGTTGAGGAATGTAAATTACATGGATAATGAAACACAACCAATATACATACCTGTCAGAGATGACAGTGGGGAGTGAGGCCGTGGCAAACCTGTGGACTGACCGCTTCCTATCAGGCTTTTTCTGTTGCTTGTTCTGCAGCTGTAAAACCACAGATGTAAATGTGAGGCAGGACAACAGACAGTTTCATACAAACACATTAGCAGGACTTAGTGAAGGACACAGCAGGAAGAAATTAGTCCAAAATGTCACAAGTCAGTGTACCACCATCATGAATCGAAGCTCAAAGAAGAAAGTGACAAAAGAGCTACAAATTTAACTCTGCTGTATATTGCACAACATTTAAGTAAGTCAATTTGAAATCACAACAATAACTTTGTTTTTCTCCTGATTACAGATTAGTTTAATGTTTAAAACTAATATAAAGAATGGGTTCTGAAATGTTTTTAATTTTGTGTTCTTTTACATCGGATCAAATCTTGAAACCTCTAAACTGCTTGGCCAAGGTGAGTCTACTTCAAGGTCAGTCTTTTATTAAACCTCATCAGAGAACAGAACAACTTCTGACCCCACTTTTATTCTTAGATTTTTTTAATTTTATTTTCAAGGTCCTACAAATTAAGATAAAAGGACACTTACTGCATAGCTTTTTGCTTTTAGCTGAATATATATATTTATACGCATCAAGATGCAGTCCTACAATGACCTCCTAGTCAGAGACAACAAAGCAGAAGGGGGAGAGAGAGCACCACTGTTCCATCTCTCCTCCCTGCTTGTTACACCTCTGAATATAAAGAATGATAGGATGCACTGTGGCTTCTGCAGTGATGCAGAACTGTGTTAGCAGGTGGCCTTCATCTCTTTGTCATTGCTGCTAGTGCTTCTGCTGCAGAGCAGCTTGTACAGGTGATACTGCAGAGCCTCCAAAGTTTCAGTCACGTTGCAAAAGCTCAGTAAAACATAAGGTAAAGAAAAACCCAAAAAACACCATTAAACACAATTATTTTGGGGTGTTTGGTTGTGGTATACATTATATACACCATACCCATTATGGTTTGGCATTGTGATGTTTTATCAACACAGATGTATTGCTGCTTTACCAATGAGAAATCCAATTGAAGAATTGAATTACAGCACCTCAAACACAACCTCAGATAGAACTGATCAAAATCACATGTGGTCTAATCTGGTCAACATCATAGCAAATCAGAGATGACTTGGAAAGAAGAACTAGTTTGGATTTTGCATTAAAAATGAATCCCAATGTAACATTTTCAATGTTATGTTTAGGTTTCTAACCAGGACCAAAATGGAGAAACGCAGTATGCAGCACTGTACTGTGTGAGGTGAGATAACCCAGGTGCATCATGGTGGGATCAACTAGTGGCTGACACATATTTGTTATCAGGTACATTTTCAACATGTTGTGGAAAAATCAACTAGTCTCTTATACTAAATTATTGCCTTGGCATATTATAACATATTAACAATTATTATAATTTTGTTTACAGCATCCTTCCAGTAAAGATGGAGCTAAATTCTTGTTGCCAAAGCTAACCCAAAAATTCTACATACTGTACATTTAGGGTGAAAATTAGAGAAAAAAGAGGGGAAAAAAAACAACTTTTTTTGGGATGTTCTTAGTTTGTTTTGAGAAAAAATAAAGAAATGCAAAGTTCTGACTTTGCATTTTAAGCCTAGTGAACCGTGCTATCAATGATTTGCATCGATGTAAAATATAAACAAAGTATGATCTGTGAGACCAGCAAACAGATTATTCAGCATGACACTGTTATCATGACTTCTGTTATCAATCATTTCATTGTTAAGCATATTTACAGTATATCTTAAACACCAACTTAAAGATTTATTGGCCAACACCTACCTTCTACCTTCACATCTAAATGTAAGACAATCCAATAAACCAGCAGGAAATCCATATTTGGTTGAAATTTCTGACCTCTAGTGCAATCACCTTTCATGAATCGGTTAGCACAAAATAAAAGTGTGGATATATTTGGTGCACAGTATCAAGTTTAACATCTATTCATATCCACCCACTGTGGATTAGGCCATGAGAATACCACCACTGATGCCAAATCAATCGTCTGGTCACCACCATTTCAGAGATGTCCACTCAAGTGGACAACAAACCAACAAACCAGCCTGTGGATAATATAACAAGAAACTGCTGCAGCTCATAATGGCTTTGTCAAGAATGGTGTTCAGATGCATCTTAATGTCAAAAAGGCTGAGTGATATCATGTTGATATAGTTGGGCTGTAAATGGTGGCGAAATAAGCTCTGGGCTAAAAAGATAAGGAGAAAGTAGGCCAGTGTTGCATGTCATACTGCAGATGTTTAAGAGTCCTGGAGCGGATCCATAAGAGGTTTTACAGTCTCACTTGCAAAAGATTATAAAAACCATTTCAGAAGTGCACATCGAAACTTCACAACCTTTGTCACATTTTCTCAAACTTTATAACGACCTACATTATTTCAACTCTTTCTCACAAAGTGATCTGTCAGAGTGAGACTTTCAGATATCGGTGTGGTTACATATTTTTGGATAAGCAAGGAGACAAAAATAACACCCTTTGATTTGTAATACTTTTGATCAGTATTCTGAAAAGTCTAATCTTGACCTATGTCAACAAAAAGCCACTTTTAGAAAGCATTTAAGTTTCAGTTCTGTCAGGTGAGCTGACAAAAAGATCAAAGCAACATAATCTGATGTTTCCTGCTGTAAAACCAAATTTCAAAGTCATAAAATGACACACAGGGCTCTAATAATAGTATGTAAACCTTGCCACCTGGGTAAAAAGCAGTTTTTAGCCACTGCAGAATGCTCATCTGCAGACCAACATCACCTTCTACACCTCAGCTTATCCTCTAGCTATGCAGATAGTTTAGTAGTTAACTTTAAATTTTTTCTGTGACAAAAGATCTAAAACACATTTCACTTAAATTGAAGTGTTCTGATGGTGTATATGTGACACTAAGACACATCTTTCAGATTCTTTTTTATGATAATACTCCAAGAATTTGAGTATTAAAAAAAACAAAGAAACGAAAAGTTGATATACAAGTAGTTGGAGGTAAGGTCATTTCACCCAAGCACCTCAAGGTTCAAATACCATTACAATGCACGTCAGCTTCAGATTAGATGGCTTGTGCAGACCAGATGACAAAGCTGACTGAACAAAAAGTCAAATGGATTGTGAGGAACTGTAAACTGATTAATACCGTTAAGGAAATCAACCCTAATGGATCTACAAGCCAATGTCATGACCCCAATGACATGAGTGAAGGAACATTTTTTGATCAGGATTGTGATAAGTCTACTCTGGATCCTTTTTAAAAAAAAAAAAAAAAAAACTTTTCCATATTAATTATACACTTAATAGGATTAGTCACAAAACAAAAACATCCCCCTGCGGTTATTTGTCTTTGTTCTAGTTATATACAAAAAGAAAAATTAATATATGTCATATAAATGAATGCTGATCAATCCACAGCTACCCCATAAATCTGAATGAAAATTGTATTTCTTTGGCAGCCCACTGATCAACACTGATCATCCATATTTATAAATCAGGTCAGAGGCAAAAATAATACACAACACCTGGATTTAAGTGGCACAGCTTTGCACCAGAATCTCTGCATTGACCATGGATGAAAGAAAGCAACAAGCAACTGTGTCTGAGCATAATATCAATATCAAACATATTTGTTCATTTCTTGGTTATATTTATCAACACACTGAAGTTCCTTCTACTTTATTTCCATGTGTTAACTATAAGAGGTGACAACATACTCTGAAAAGGAAATACGACTGCCTTAACAACAAACAATCAAGTGCCTTTAACAAAGAAAACACTACACAATAGGTGAACAGGAAACTCCCAGCTTTATATTGACACTGGCTTCATAAAGCATCTCAGTTCACCTCCAATAAAAAACAAACACACAGTACTCTGGTCATTTACTGACATCTAAAATCTTTAAAAATCATTTTTGTATAGGCAAGCGCCATAGGTTGGTCTAAAGATGTTACCTTTTTGAGCGACGCAACCGAGCTCCACTGAAGAACTGAGGCAGGGTAAAGTTGGACAGTACTGTCCACAGACTGGAGTCGGACATTGTGTGCAGATCATGCCAATGTGGGGAACAGAGGAGGGGCTTTTGAAGGCAAGGTGAGGAGGAATGAGAGCTATCGGTGTTCAGAACTACGTGACTCCCAGTGCAGTCCTGACAGGTAACTCTGCAAAAACAGTCCTTCGGTCCACACGTCCTCTGCACAGGCACATCTGCAGAAAGCTGCGGCATGAACACTCTGGCAGCGAGGGCACGTCCTCCTCCTGTGTCCTCACATTTAAAGTAATCCAAGAAGGATTCTGAAAGGCACACCTCGTGTGATCCAGGTCAGGTGTTGATAGTCGCTACTGTCGTACGGAAATGACACCTAATACCACCTGACTCTTTGTGTTCCAGTCTCACTGCGACTCTGCTCTGTATCCCAAACTTTCTTCCTGCTGCCTTCACTCAACATGCTCCGTATCATGTAACAGACAGCTACCACTTCACAGCCTGTGCAGGGGGGTGTTTGTTCAACGTAGGAGTACCGCATTATCAGTGGATGCTGCTGTGCTTTCACTGTTTCTATAAACTGGCACACCCCAATAGTCTGGAGGGTCAGACGTTATTAACGAGGACCAATCAGAAATGGAGATGTTCTTTGCCCCCTGCTACAGTTGTCCCTCTGCTCTTTCCTACGTACATGAACCGTACAGGAGCCTCACCTTAACTTCATCACCTTTGATCCTTGAAGCACGTTTCTATCAACCATTAGCAGATTATAAGCCAAACACAAACACTGACTGAGAAACATGACACTCTGGTCATTTCTCCATTTAAGCGAATCAAACGTTTTAAACAATACTGGTTCAAAGACAGTCTGACTATGATAGTCACTCACCAACAGGACAAGCCAGGCTGTACCAACACACACTACACAAGACACTGCCTTTTGTCAGTCTGGTGATGAATTTCATTAGGAGCCACTGCATAAATGTGTGATTTCAGTTGCCCGCTTCTGACAGTTGCCCATGGAGAGCCAAGTACACAGACACATACAGTAC